GGGCTGGCTGTTCCCCCCCCCCCTCCCTCCGCCCGGCCCCCCTGCCTCTCCCGGGAAGGCTCTCCAGGCAGAACTTCGTCTTGCATCCTGCTTCAAGGTTATGACATCTTTTGCAAGGATGACCTCATCCCAGCCCTGCAATAATAGCTTCTGTGAGGTGGGCATTATTATTCATAGCTTTAAACAACCACTGAAGGAAATCCAGGGATTTGTCAGAGGTCAGACGGCTGAGCGCGACTCAGACTTGCACGTCCCGACTCGGGTCCAGTGCTCGGAGTGGGCACCGACCCTGCGGACAGCCGCAGCGACCACGCAGCAGGGCACACGGCTCGGGGTCAGGGCGCGGCCACTCTGCTCAGCTACCCATGTCTAGGAAAACGCTTCTCTGGACCAAGGGAGTGAGTCGCAGAGAATGCGCTGCTGGCATGACTCCCTACGGGTGGTGAAGCAATGGCTTCCGCCGTCGGAGCAGGTGACGTCAGCCGTCTGGGTTCCTGCCAGTGTTCTTGGCCCAGGAAATGGACTTCCGGCCGGTTGGGCTCTGAACCATCTCCGGGCTCCTGGAAGGGCAGATTTCTTAATTCGCAAAGTGAGGAAGAAAAAAGCAATCGGATCTCAGGAAATATTTCACTAGAGGAAATTAGGTAAAAATGGAGAAGGGGAGTTCAGGGGGTCCTGGGTAGGCGCGAGCAGGGAGCCCCTCCATCTGGGGACTGGGAGCAGGACCTAGGGCTCCTACGGGGAGATGGGAGAATCTGTGAGTAAACAGACCCAAGCAGATTGGGGTGGACTGGGGGAAAGATAAGCAAAGCCAGGCGGTCTGGAAAAAAGTACGCGTCCACATACACACACGGGTCAGAGGGAGGCCAGGGGAATGTTGACTCCAGGTCTCATGCACTTTCTGGGGACAGTAAATCTTGAACTAAGCAGCAGCATGCAATTATGGCAGGCCCCATCTCCTGGTTGTTTTGAGTTATAAAAGTATTCCAGTGGAAAAACGCCTACATAACAGATAAACTAGATTTTGAGGGGTTTTTTTGAGAGTTTTTTTGCTAGGGGGCATGTGCACGCGCCGGAGAGACAGAGAGAGAGAGACAGAAAGTGAGAAATGACCCCTCAGGGTGGATGGCCACACCACAGTTCCTTCTCCAGTCTCCTCTTGGGATCTCAGGCAGGCACACACGCACACAGGCCTGTGAGTTTTAAGCCGCTGGGTCTGGGACTCAAACCGCAGTTCGCCATGCGGGCGTTCAGTGACGTAACCGTTATGCCATCCCCCGGTGCCTACAGTAGAATGTTAAATCTTCTCTCACATGTCTCCAGGCCTGGTTCAGGCAGCTGTCCTGCAGCAGATGTTCATCTCCTTTCATTCTCAAGTGACTGTGTGAGGTAAGAACCGTTATGATGTCTTTATTTGATAAAATGTGGTAAAATACACGCAACATAAAACGGACCGCATTGACCGCGTTCCAGTGTGCAGGTTAGTGGCGTTGAGCTCCTCCACGACACCGTGCAGACCTCACCCGCGTCCGCCAGAGCGCTGTCCCCTGCGGCTGACCCTGCCCAGCACGCGCTCCCCCACTTCCCTCCTCGGCTCCTTGCAGACGCCATTCTGTCTCCTGAACCTGCCTATGCTAAGCGCTTTGTGCAAGGAACTCACATAACATTTTTTCCATTTGCGACCGGCTTCTCTTTCAGCCGGCATAATGCCTTCAAGCTTGATTTATGCTGTAGAATAGGTCAGAATTTTCTTCCTTTTTTCTTAAATGTAGGACAGAGTTTCACTTTTTTATTTTGCTTTTGACTTTTCCATCGGGCACCTGTGCTTGCAGGAGAAAGACAGAGGAGGGGAGAGAGAGAGAGAAAGAGAGAAAGTGAGAAGTCACCCTCAAGGGGTGATTACCACGCTGCAGCCCCTCTCTGCCTTCTCCTCTTGGATTTTGGGCATGCACACATGGGCATCTGGTGTGTTTCTCAAGCCACTTGGTGCAGGACTCGAACCACTCAGCCAGCCATGTGGGATCCAGCTCCTTAGCCTCCGTGCCACCTGTCAGCCCTGAGAGAGTTTCTCTTTGTTGTGACCCTCCTACTTCAGTCTCCCAAGTAGCTGGGACTGCAGGTGTCCCCTACCACACCTGGCTTTTAGTCTGGGCTAGAAACTGAACCCACTTCTCTGGTGTGGCCTCAGTGACACAGCAGTGGCATCTACCTGCACATGCTACTGTTCCTGGGTCTCAATTTTCTTCCTTTTTTTGAGGGGGGAGAAGTTTTTGCTATAGGGCGGGTATGCTCACCAGAAAGACAGAGAGAGACAGAGAGACAGAGAGACAGAGAGCGAGAAATCACCCCCAGTGGGGATGGCCATGCCGCAATCCCTTCTCCTCCATTCTCCTCTCAAGATCTTGGGCATGCACGCACGTGCTCCTGGCATGAGTTTAAGCCACTGGGTCCGGGACTTGAACCACGGTCAACTACATGGGAGTCCAGTGACATAGCTATTACGTTAACTGTGTCTTTATTTTTTTAAGAATTATTTTATTTAACTTTATTATTGTTACTATTATTATTTTCCAGTTTGATCAGAGAGAGACAGAGAAAGAGAGAGAGGGAAAGCGAGAAAGCAAGCCACCAGGTCATAATTATTAATTTATTTTTATTTAACTTTATTATTATTTTTTTAAAAATTATTGCTATAGGGCACATGTGCTTACAAGAGGTAGAGAGAGAGAGAGAGAGAGAGAGAGATGGCAAGCTGCCAGGTTCGGGACTCGAACTGTGGTCAGCCATGTGAGAGTCCAGCACTGTAACCACCATGCCATCTACTGGCCCCTGTACCACATTTTTTTTTTTTTGGAGAGGTTTCCGCTATATGGCGCGTGTGCTCGCCAGACAGACAGAGAGAGACAGAGAGACAGAAAGCGAGAAATCACCCCCCAGGGGGGATGGTCACGCTGCAATCCCTTCTTCTCCATTCTCCTCTTGGGATCTTGGGCATGCACGCACACGCACCCGGCGTGAGTTTTAAGCCACCGGGTCTGGGACGTGAACCGCGGTCGACTACATGGGAGTCCAGCGACATAGCCATTACGCTAACTGCTGGTTCCCAGTACCACATTTTATTTATCCATTCATCTATTGATGAACACTTGGGCTGCTTCCATCTTTGGCTATTGTGAATATGAACATGGTTGTGCAAGTATCCGTCCAAGTTATGCCTTTATTTTTAATAGCAGTTATATCGAGATATAATTTACATGTTATTCAATTCATCCTTTAAAAGAATAATAGTGAAACTATTTTGGTATATTCAAACAGTTGTGCAAACATTGCTGTCATCAATTTGAGAATATTTTCATCACCCCCAAAAGAAACCCATACTCAGGACCAGCAAATGGCATAATGGTTACGTTGCTGGACTCCCACATGGCCACCTGCGGTTTGAGTCCTGGACCCAGAGGCTTGAAACTCATGCCAGGCACCTGTGTGTGCTTGCCCCAATTCCCGAGAGGTGACTGGAGGAGAAGAGACTGCAGCACGGCCATCCCCTCTGAGGGGTGACTTCTCACTTTCTGTCCCTCTCTTGGTGAGTGTGTGCACTCTACAGCAAAAATCTTTTTCTAAAAAGGGAAACCTATACTCACTAGCAGTCCCTTCCAATATTCCCCCAAACGCCTCCCCTCTCCAGCCCTAAGAAGACAGCCATCTGTTTTTTGTCTGTGCAGAGTTGTGTTTTCTGGACATTTCCTATAAATGGCATCTTGTGGTATGTGGAATTTTGTGTCTGGCTTCTTTCATTAGCATGTTTTCCAGATTTATCCCTGTTGTAGCATGTATCAGAATTTCTTTTTAATGCCAAATACTTCATTGTGTCAGTATGTCACACTTTTTCATTCGTAGTAGATCAACTGATGGACATGTGTGCTGTTTCCATGTTTGAAAAATCTACCAGAAGGCGAGAATACATGCACTCACCAGAGAAAGAGAGAGAATCGAATGTTTTTAAAAAAAATACTAAGAATAGGGACCAGCAGTTAGCATAATGGCTATGTCGCTGGACTTCCATGTATTCAACTACAGTTCGCGTCCCAGACCCGGTGGCTTAAACTCAAACGTTGGGTGCGTGTGCGTGCATGCCCAAGATCCCGTGAGGAGAATGGAGGAGAAGGGATTGCGGCATGGCCATCTCCCCTGGGGGGTGAATTCTTGTTTTCTCTCTCTCTGTCTCTCTCTGTCTGGTGAGCACACGTGCCCTATAGCAAAAACCTCTTCAATAATAATAATAAAAGAAAGAAAGAAAGAGGAGAGAGAGGAAGAAAGTCCCCTGCTCTCCAGGGGGCGTGGTCCCGCCTCACCCCTCCTCCTTCACCCCTCTCAGGGTTGGGCACACACGCATGCGTTCACGTGCATGTGCATGTCCCCTGGCTCGCACTGGCATGCTTCTTCACAGCTGACTAAATTGTGAGCTCCGCGGAATGGACTGACCTGGCTTTGCTGGCCGTGGTCCCACTTAGCCCGTGCAGCACACATGCCAGATGCACAATGTGTGTGGGACGTGTGAACGGGCACACGGAAGTGAGGGACCGAGATCAGAGACGGTCGGTAACTTGCCTCGGTCCATCAGCTGGGAAGTGGCCAGACATGTTGGAACTCACGTCTTCCCATTCATTTCTAACGAAGGGGTTTTGTACTCCGAGGTTTCTGGAAACTTCTTGGATTGCCAAAAGCTCTTGGCCAAAGGAGGCCAGATCTTCGGTGTCACTTGCCTCTCCCTGTGTAATCCCGAGTATTGTGTTGTTAGCGAACAGCCAGCCTTCTCAAATCTAGCTTGCTTCTTGTCCCCACCCCGTCCTCCCCTCCCACCCCAGTCACAGAGACAAAGATTCCACTTCCCTCTTGGTGGTTTATAGTTGGAAAGTTCTAGCTATCTGACCGCAGCCTCCTGCTGCCCCATCGTACCGTGAATCTCCGCGAGTCTTGGTGTAACCGTTTATTATGAGACCTGGCTTGATGGAGGAGGCACTTCTGGCCGCAGGAAGTCTCTGTGCTCTGCCATTTGTGAAGCGCAGCCTTGGTGGAGCCAGAGGCCCTGGCTCTGGCCCTGAAATGGTGCTGTTTTTGGACTGTTGTTTCTGATTCTGGTACTAGCTTGTCATGTCAGGGAGGGTAAAGCCGGGGTCATAAACCTCGGCTATAGAACATTTCGATGGACCCCCTCTTGTCGTAAGGACAAGGGAGAGCCTTACAGGGAAAGGCAGCTTTGCTTCTCAAGGGGTCCAAAGTTTGAGCCCAACCTGGGGTGAGCTGGGTGGACTTAACTTCCTCCCCTTGACAGGGTTGAGTTTGGGCTCCCCCTGTTGGACCCTCTGAAAAATAATTCTTTGAACTACAGTAAAATTAGGACAGGGAAGGGGACAAAAGGAAAAACATTTATTGTGAGCTTGCTCTGTATATATATTAGTCATTTTATTCAAGTTTCTTATTTTATCCTTAAAGTAATCCTACAGGTAGGTTTCATCACTCCAGTTGCAGAGTCAAATGTTGCAACTTGCCCGAAGTTACACAACAATGTGAACCTACAGCTTTCCTGACCCCCGAAGTCCATATTCTTAGCAGTCGGTGCACTGAGCCAAGGGGGCCAGTGGGCAGAAATGGCACACGAAGTCCCCTCTTCACTTCCACGGGATCTAGCGCTCATTTTTCTCAAGATGTCTTGGGGTCCCGGGATTCTCCCATGATCTCCTGAACCAGTGGTGTGTTGGCACCAGCTCCAATCCACTGATGAAAGTGATTGTTAAATAGTTAGGAATTTTTCAAGTGGGTGACTAAACTATTGGTGGTTGGAAATCGGTCATGGCAGGAAGTAGTTACACCATGGCAATTGGTAGCTGCTACAGATCAGGCCTCTCCATCTCCCCTGTGGGCCGGTTTACTAGCGTGTTACTGTCCTGAAGTCTCCTCTGAGGTCACAAACACCCTGAACAGAGCATTAACCTTGAGGTCCCGAGCAAGATCGGGGGGAGGTCCCATCCCTAGTGGTCACAAACTTTTAATTGTACACTGTGGAAGGTTAGACACAGCTGTTGGAAAGTGAGGAATTGCATGTACATAAAAGAGAGGAAAAAAGTTATAAAATACTGGTTATTCACATATAAGCAAGCACCAACATTTTCAATCATGAGGATTAGATGGGAGGGATATGGCTTATCACTAGAGTCTTTTTCTTTTAGAGCAATGAGAAAGTAGATCTAATTCATGAAGAAACTAGGAAAGTGCCCTGGATCGGTGGGAAGAAAAATCCCAATCTGAGATCTTGGGATGGGACACAGTTTGAGGACCACAACCTCTGACCTGAGACCACAGCTAGGGTCCCTTTGCTTGCCACGTGGTAGCCTTCCAGCAGCAGGGTCCCACAGGAACAAGGGCTATGGGGGTCTGTGAAGAACAGAGTGACCTATGCACCAGGTGACAAATCTCCAGAGCTGACTCTGGCTTTGTTTGGTGTCGGGGTCCAGCCTCGGCAGGGGTGGGTTAGTTGAGACTCGTACACAGGAAGGCGACACGGGTGATCAGGAACAGAAATTAGACTAAGACCTCAATACTTTTTAGCATGTTCTCAGCCGGCCACAGCCAGAGCCAGCTCCAGGCTGCAGTGCTAGCAGCTATCAAACACACGTATTTATTGAGGGATCTTACAGGAGTAGGAGGGGTGAGGGGGAAATAAAAGATTTACTCTAAGAAATAGGGAATTCAAAGCACAGGAACAGTGATCATAAAACATGATGTCTGTCTTGTTTGAACAGGTGAAGCCAAACACAGTTCTCAGAATGAAGGAGTCTATTTGTCTGGTGCATTTTCTTCTCCAGTCTTGATTACCGGACAGGAAGTTTGATAACTTCTGTCCCAGGTCAGCTTGATAACTTCAGTTCTGGGCCAGGGCGGTAACATTGCTGGTTACAAAGGCTTAGATAGAAATCTTGTCTTGTTAAATAAAGACACAGTTAATATATGCACTATCTATATATTACAGCTAAAGAGGGTGAGCCTATTACCCATATCTGGAGCCTTCAGGTTTGTTCATCCTGTCATCAGTCAGGCTTTTCCTTTCTTATAAACCTGCAGGTTTCTGTATTTTATTTGCTGAGTCTGTCAATTAGTGAGTTCTTTTGTTTTATCTCTGAGTTCCTGTTGTGTGGTGAATGTGCTGACTTTGCCTAGCATGAGTTAACTTTGGCCTGTAGCTTTTACATAAAACTAGCCTTAAACTAACTTAGTCTACATATGCTACTAATGCTACTTTGGCTTATACTGATTTGACCTAACATATGTTAATTTTGGCTTAAACAGACAGGAGGGGGAGTCTCAAACTTCCTGGCCCTCCTGTGCCATCTTAGGAAGCCACATTCCTACAAGATCACTCATTGGTTTTATTGTAATGGTTGGGGGTGATATTTTACCCTTGCAGGGTACCCTAATAACAGTGAAACTCATGGCAGAGAAATTGACTACAGGCCAGTAAACCAAGGGGGGACTCATAAACCGGGCCTTGTCTCGCAGTTTCTTCCCAGCCCAGGCCTTGCCTGTAGACTTGGGAAGCAGCCTCTTTACCAGCTTGTGTTGTCTGCATGGCCCCGTCAGTGTGGGTCTTTTCCATTTTCAAAAAAGTTTTAAGCCATTATTCATCTCTTCCAGGAGAGACAGAGAGAGAAAGGGCAAGAGGGACAGGCACCCTCACCTGGGCCTTGGACGCCACAGTCTCCTTCCCCCAGCCCTAAGAACCTCAGTTGACCCCGATCCAAACACATTGTCGCCACGTGTCCCAGCACTGCAGGTCGTACCCTACTGACTGCACCGCCAACGTGGGCCTGGGCCGTCTCTGTTGAAGACTGGAGTCAGAGGCCGTCCTGGGCTCGTTTCGAAGCTGCAAAAGAACCCAGGGGCATGTTCTCACACAGCTCCTTCATTTCTCCATCCTGTCTCGATTTCGAGCATGCCTGCACACAGCCCAGCATGTCTCTTAAGTCGCCGGGGCCAGGATTTGAACCAGTCAACCACGCATGACCCCATTCGCTAGGCTACGAGCCTGGCCCCATGTTTTACACGCCCTCTTGCCATTAAAATGAGTTTTTCCATTGGAGTCAGCGTGTTTAGCTTCACAGTCCATGGAAACGAATGAGAGGAAGAATAAACAACGCCCTCTCCCAAATGATGGGTGTTGTGCTCTGTGAACTAAAAAAGCCCAGTGATTTCCTAAAAGAAAAAAAAAGAAGCTGCAAAGGAACAGCCACCTCCCCAAGTAAAAATAAGGGGCACATCCTCTGTGGTGGGCACTGGGAGAGAGCCCCTCATGGGGAGCAGATGCCGTACTTCCCAGCCCTGCAGTCCCCAGCGGTTCCTTGTCCTTTTATACCGGCCTTTTTCCCCCCCAGAGAAACAGAGAGAGAAAGTGACAGGGAACGTGAAAAATCACCCTCTTCTCCTCCTGGGATCTGGACATGCACACACACAGCGTGGTTTTCAGGCCAGCAGGTCAGGGACTTGAACTGTGGTCGGCCTGTCCTTTTAGGCACAGCAGAAGCCCTGGAGCTCGGGAATGATTAAACAGGACTTCCCTGAAGGCCTAAGAGGAGGGAAGACAAGACTGAGCAGCAGGGAGCCAGATAATCTGACTGGCCCGCCCACCGTCTCCAGCCCAGGGCACTTGCAGGATTTGCTTTCTCCTTCCTCCAGGCTGCCTTCTTTCCACGGAGCTCCCTCCCTGATCTGACTAGCGAAGCTTGGTCAGTGGCCACTTCCCCCTCAGCCTGCTCAAGGCGCCCTTTCTGGGTTCAGCTTCCTGTCTGCAGACCCACCTCACCCATGCCTGCCCGACACCAGAACGTCCAACCCTTTAAAAACTTTTTTTAAAAGAATTGTTGATTTAATTCTATTTATTTATTCAGCTCTTATTCCCAGGTGTGTGCCCGTGTCCCCGAGGGTGCAGCAGGAAACCCGCACACGGTGAGGGTGAAGTGAGCGTGCGGCGTTCCTTCCAGGTAATGCCCCACTCTCTCTCGCCTTTAAAATTTTTATTTATTTATTTAGTTCCATTTGTTGTTATTGTTATTATTATTTTAAATTTGACTACAGAGAGACATAGAAAGTGAAAGCGAGAAAGCAAGTTGCCAGGTCCAGGACTCTAACCGCAGTCGGCCCTGTGGGAATCCCACGCACTTAACCACCGTTGCCACCTGCCGGTCTCGTGCCTGACTCTCTTGCGGTTCAACCCAGGGCTAGAGATTGTGATCAAGGGACAGCCCGATTCGATCTGCATGTACAGGGTGAGAGCGACAAGACTGGTGTCACGTTTGAGGTTAACTAGTCCCTTCTGCAGGGCAGGCTTCCACCTGCTGCTGCCACTCCCAGCTGAGGCTGGCCCAGGCAGACTTTGAAAAGCACGTCGTGGGAGGGAGGCTCGAACTCAAAGGCCAGCAGAGGTAAGCGCTCTGTGGGGCAGAAACTGATCATCAGCTAGAAACTGGCCGGTTGCCAGCCCTGCAGCGCCTTCCCCAGCCTTGGAGAAGGCTCCACCGCAAGGTCGTGTTCACTCAGCAAGTGTGACCGGTTCTGGGTTCTCGTGTGTCAGGTGCTAACCAGACGCAGCACAGAGCAGGGAACAGGGCAGCCCAGCCCAGCCCAGCCCACCGGCGTGGAGGTCACAGCATGAAGGGAGGAAGACACTGAAGAGTAGTTAGCAGGGAGTGGGCATCAGGAGGGAAGGTGGGGAGCATCCAGCAGGCAGGGAGTGCCGACAGAAGGGGAGATCACCACTTAGGGATACCCGAGGACTTGGCGGGGTGAAACAGAAGCTCCATGAGGAGAGGGTCCACTGGTGCCAGTGTCTGTGTGTGTGTGTGCACGTACACATGTGTGCATGTGTGCATGCATACGTGTGTGTGTGCGTGTGTGTGGTGTAGCTAATCCTCCCTCAGTTCATCTTGGTAAACGGCTTTTGTAAAACTGCTGCTGTGCTGTCTGCTAACAGGTGAGAACGGGATAGGGATGAGCCACGCACGATTAGACGCACATGACTAATGGGATTAGCCTGGACATCCACACCTTCCCACTTGGGTCTGACCCCTGATCAGCTGGGTTGAGAACTCGAGTGAGTTATTTTCCTTTCCCGTGCCTGTTTTCTGTACACTCCATTTCCCAAAGTCGTGAAGATAGAAGGCGGTGTTTATAAATGACTTGGAATATTATAGTCAGTGCTTGGTGACCGGTATTACAGACTGAGTCCAAAAACCTGAAATCTGAAATGGCCCAAATCCAAAATCAGTTTCTTTCTTTCTTTTTTTTTTTTTTTTTTCTTTTTTTTAAGATTTTTGCCATGGGGTATGTGTACTCGCCAGAGAGAGACAGAGAGAGGGAAAGTGAAAAATCCCTCCCCAGGGTGGATGGCCACACTGTAATCCCTTCCCATCCATTCTCCTCGCGGGATTTTGGGCCCACGTGCATAGCACCGAGCATGTTTTCCAAGCTGCTGGGTCCGGGACTCAGACCACAGCTGGCCATGTGGGAATTTGGTGCGTTCACCACACCACTTACTGGCCCCCATCCAAAACCTTTTGAGTGCAAACATAATACCGCAAGTGGAAAATTCCACACCTGACCTCACAAATGTTGCAATACAAAAATATTATATAAAATTACCTTAAGGTTTTATGCATGAAGTATATACGAAACACAAATGTTATGTTTACACTTGGGTCTCATCCTCCAGATATCTTTGCAGAGGGAACAGCAGATGGTGTAATGGTTATATCGCTGGACTCCCATGTAGTCAACCGCAGTTTGAGTCCCAGACCCGGTGGCTTAAAACTCATGCTGGGTGCTTGTGCGTGCATGCCCAAGATCCCGAGAGGTGACTCAAGGAGAAGAGATTGAGGTGTGGCCATCCCCCGTGGAGGGATGATTTCTCACTTTCTGTCTCTCTGGCAAGTGCAAGTGCCCTATAGCAAAAATCTCTCTCTCTTAAAAAATAGAAGGAAAGATATCCTTGCAGATACTCCAAAATCCAAAAGAGACCCCAAATCGAAATACTTTTGGTCCCAAGCATTTTTTTCTTTTCTTTTAAAAAAATTTTCTATAGGAAGCGTGTGCCTCTGAATAGAGAGAGAGAAAGAGAGAGAAAGAGAGAGAAGCATCCTCCATGGAAGATGGCCACACCACAATCCCATCTCTTCCTTTCTCCTCTCGGGATTTTGGCACACATGCACAGGAGCCAAAGCTGCTGGGTCTGGGACTTGAACCAGGTGGTTGGCCTTGTGGGATCCAGCTCCTTTAGCCATTATGCCGCTGACTGGCTCCCCAACCATTTTGGTTGGAGAGGGAAATCAACCTATATTATTTATGTATACTAAAGTTCAAAAGAATTTTGATAGATACGAGAAAAGACATAATCAATCTGGTATCAGGAAACAAGAGTAAAATACTAAGTCTAGCAGGAAGAAAGGGAGGGTGTGCACGCAGCGCCGGGTAATGTCCGTGTAGAGAGAGGTTGTGCTCTTGGGAGATGAATGGGAGGTTTTCCCACCGGGGAGGGGCTCTATGCTTGGTGTGCTGACTGCACTCACCAACCCCACTCTGTCCTGTCTTACCAGGAGAGTCTTTTTTATTTTTCTTTTAATAAAGTATCATTTTATTTAACTTTATTTATTTTAATTTGACCATAGAGGGACAGAGTGAGAGAGACAGACAGAAAGTGAGAAAGCAAGCTGCCAGGTCCATGACTCGAACCACAGTCGGCCGTGTGAGGGTCCAGCACCCTTAACCACCACGCCCCCTGCCAGCCCCACCAGGAGAGTCTTATTCTAGGAGTGCAGAATCTTTAATCTCTAAACCCATTTGTAGCGGGGCTAGCAGGTGGTATGGTGGTTAAGGTGCTGGATTCCCACATGGCCGACTGAGGTTCAAGTCCCAGACCTGGCGAATTGCTTTTCCACTTCTCCTCTTTCTCACTCTCTCTGTCTCTCTCTGGTGAGTGCGCATGTCCTATATCAAATGAAAGGAAATAATAATAATAAAAAAATCAAATAAAAAGAAAATCCATTTGTAGCAAGTTAGAGGAGGAAAATGAAAGGGAAGTTGATGTGTATTCATTCGTCCACTGGCCATGCTTGCTGGAAGAAGGGCAGACGCCTGCTTGACCTTTACAGAAGGCACCAGAGATCTCTGTAGACCTTCATGCTAGGTGACACTTGTGCAGGCGTTCTGGGCCTTTCTCAGCAACGTTTGTCTCGAGAGGCTGCTTCCTGTTTGTATTCTCTTACCACAAGTTAACCGCTGTCCCAGCTTTCACTAAGTCTTTTCTTTTTTTAACTTTCATTTATTATTTATTTATTTATTTTAATTTGACCAGAGAGGGACAGAGAGAGGGAGGGAAAGTGAGATAGCAAGCCGCCAGGTCCAGGACTTGAACCTTGGTCGGCCATGTGAGAGTCCAGCACCCTTAGCTGCCACGCCACCTGCCGGCCCCCTTCACCAAGTCTTATGTCTTACTCTGAGAAATTTTTGAGCTGACTGGAAACATTTCCTGAAACAGTTTCTCAAATCATTTTCAAATAGCTGCATTTACGGTGGATTACTTGAGCTGAGTTACCATCAAGATCAAAATGCCAGTCTTTAATTTACCCTGATTTATAAACCCTAACAATCATCACTTTCTCAGATTTGTTCACATGTCCATTTCTTCTTCACCAGTATCAGCTATTGGCTTTTGAGGGGGCAATATTTACAAAGATATAGTTTTTTTTTTTTTTTTTTAGAGAGAGTTTTGCTATAGGGCACATGCACTTGCTGGAGAGAGAGAGACAGAAAGTGAGAGATCATCCCCCATGGGGGGATGGCCACACCACAATCCCTCCTTCAACCTCCTCTTGTGATTTTGGGCACGCATGTACACGTGCCTGGCATGAGTTTCAAGCTGCCAGATCCGGGACTCGAACAGCAGTCAACCGTATGGGAGCCCATTGCCTTAACCACCATGCCACCTACTGACTGAAAATTGAGTTTTTAAGAACCATGTTTGCCATAGGTTTCCTGCCTATGGGAAACCACCTGCTGAGAAACGCGAAGCACTTTGGGAAGTTGGGTGGCATCTCTCATCACTCAACCCCATCCGGCCTGTGCCTCAGCAGCACTGCCCGCTCCAGGTGTCAGGGGTCTTTGCAGACAACTGAAACAAGCAGAAATGTCCGATCTGCAGACGCCGTGTGTTTCCTGTACTAAATATTCACAGCAAGGAGACACAAACAGCCACACGCCCTGTTACTGCCTCGCTACTTCGCTCAAATAATTCTAGATAAAACTGGTTGTAGTGGGGCCAGCAGGTGGCCTGGTGGCTAGAGGCGCTGGACTCTCACATGGCCGATTGTGGTTCGTGTCCCAGACCTGGCGACTTGCATTCTTGCTTTCCCTTTCTCTCTTTCTCTGTCTGGTCAAATAGGAAAAAAATAATAATAACAAATGGAATTTTAAAAAATAATAATTATTTAAGGAAAGAAATTGGTTGTAGCAATGGAGGTAAGCCCCATTGTTAACTATATGAGGGTTTTTTTTTTTTTTTTTTGGTTTTTTTTTTTTTTATTAGGGGAGATATGTTTTTTGGGGACCAAATTAATGGGAACATAGTTCAGTTTTTCTCCTTCACTGGGGGATAGACAGAACCCACATAATATATAATAGCTTGTGCCTTTGCCCCTCATGTAAGCACCTCTTATTTTTCTGTCATTATTATGCTATTATGGAATTTTCAAGTTAAGACCCTTGTTAGAAAATGACAGAGAAAATGCAATTGCTCTATAATCCCCAATTATATTGTAACTTTTTTCAGATAAGTACACTCAACGTTTTTAAAAAATAATTATTTATTTTATTTTATTTATTCATTCATTTTTTTATGTTTTAGTTTGACCAGAGAGAGACAGAGGGTGAGAGTGAGAAAGAGAGGAAGTGAGAAAGCAAGCCACCAGATTCAGGACTTGAACCCTGGTTGGCCTTGTGGGAATATCCAGCGCCTTAACCACCACGCCACCTGCTGGTCCCAGTACACCCAACTTTTAATCTTATTTATTTATTTATATTCAGAGGATTTTGCCTTTGAGCACGCGGGCTTGCCAGAGAGAGCGGGACAGAGACAGTGAGAGGGTGAGAGCTCACTTTACAATGTGGGCGGCCGTGTCGTGATCCCTCCTCCTCCATTCTCCTCCTGGGATCTTGATACGCATGCGCACACGCCTGGCGTGCGTTTCAAGCTGTAGGTCTGGGACTCCTGCCGCAGTCGGCCGTGTGGGAGTCCAGGGATGTAATCATTGTGCGTTTGCTGGTCCCCCGATCTCACTTACTGTAAAATCAGAGGGGTGAAACAGCCTTTGTTTAGACGTGTGGTTCACGTCTGGGCTTGCTGCTGAAAAGGCCCCAGACAGTGGCTGGGCAG